CCATGGCAGCAATAAGTCGCTATTTGCCCACAAATCATGTTTGATCCGAGGAAAGCCAAGATTTCTCCAATTTCCTTGGATCAAGAGCTCTTTTCCAGCGTTAGTGATACATAAAATATCAAGCATTTCTATAATCAAGTGTAATAATTATTATTAATTAACAGGTATAACATTGAAGATGCTTACATAACTTGTAACAAACGTGTATGGAAAAGCCTTTATGACTTAAATATATCAAAGTTATTTTTGAAGTTGAGATACAAAGTCTGTTCTGTATTATTGTATTCTTGGGTCATACAGCGCCATACATATTTTAATGAGCCCAAAGGTGTGGTAGGAACGTTGTGGAAGTTGTTGGTGGTCACTGTTGTAGCAGCCGGAGGAAATGACTGCTCTGAGAGAGCCAGCTGGCTGAAAAGACTCCTGTGGTGATTGTGGTTGTAGTAGTTGTGGTGGTGGTGGTGGTAGTGGCGTGAGGATAGCCATAATGGTCGACGTGGACAAGAAGTACATGCCCTTCTGGAAGTGGTGGATACACAAGAGTGAGTCGAGTCCCACGCTGACACACAAGTCCACCAAACACACGAGTACTGCCTCCAGTACTGTCACACACACCTCCAGGCACCTTATGTCTTCTGAGCAACTATTTGACAGGAAAAGACCCATTGACAAAGAAATTAAGTCTACTGAGGAACTCTTCCTGAGGTCTTTGGAGGATGGTCATGGAGTAAGGTCATCTGAGGATCTGTTGGAGAGGATTGATGGAGATAAGACGTCATCTCTGCAGAGATACAGGAGAGCCGTCTCAACCAGCCACCTCTCAAAGCGACCCACGTCTCTTGAACAACCAGGTGTGGTCACTTCGACCGGGACGCATTGGTCTAAATCATCTAGTTCTCTGGAACTGAAAGAATCACAGTGGAGGCCGGTGGATGTAACAGATCAAAATCCATCCCTCCAAGAGGACTCCAGCTCTAAGACCAAGAAGAGCGGCAAGAGACGATTCACTCTTCCTTTAGGCAAGCACAAAAATGGTGATGAACAAAAAAGTAAAAGGAAAGAATGGAGAGGAAAGACAAGCAAGAAAGTAAGAAGCTCTAATGCGGGGGTTTTATCACCTGGCGACGACACTGTGGACAGCACCTCCTTCATCCCAGGAAGAAAAAAACATTTTGACTTCGGCGTCGACAAGGAAGATTTAGAGAAAGGAAAATTACCTTGTCCTGGTTACGATATCCTGACCCCCACCGAAATATATCAGAAAAGATCTTCCCAAGCTAAAGCGACCAAAGAGGGAGGAAATGGCGAAATAGCTTCCAGTCAGCGGTCAAGTCCCGAACAAGGTAAAACCTCAGCCCCCGAACGAGACAAATCAACATCGAAAGAGGAAATGGTGGGAGAGATATCAGAGCCTGAAGCTATCACAACAGCCTCCAGACAAAATACACTCGAGAGACAAACACGAGCCGAAGTAGAAGATTGCTCCAAATGCGAATTTTCTAGGACGCAAATAAAGCCTGTTTTGGAGAGTAGGACTGAGGGTGTTGCTGAGGTGAAGGATACAGATGTGAGTGAGAACTATGATGTGCCGGGACCACTGCGTCCCATCTACGAGGCTCCTCCTCCACCCAGACCTGTTGCTACAGATGTTGCCTCACCTAAACCTTCACAAGATACAAGTGTCATGTCTCGGTACTCAAAGGAAGAGGAAGAATCTTCTGGGATGGCGAAGGAAGCCCCCAGCACTCCTACAATAAAGGGCTTCCCAGAGAGGCCTCTCCCGACACCACCATCAGCAGACAGGGAAGGTGGTGATAAGGAGAACGTCAAGTTATCTGGCATCACTCCATCAGGTATCACTCCATCGGGAGGCACGCCATCGGGTGGCACATCATCGGGTAGCAATAGTAAACGCCACAACGTGCAGCGAAAACATAGTGAGCAGCCACCAACGCCGAAAGTTGTGAAGAAACATCAGGTTGTGAGGCGGACGAAGAGTGAACCGAGGATGCGACGAAGTGAGTTCCATCCTCTCAACCTGGCTCTGAGCAAAGAAGAAAGTGAAGCCATGCAACACGTCCTTGACGACCACCTCTTCAAACACAACTTCAAGGTGATGGCTGAGGCGGGTGTAGACGTTGAGACTTTTTCTCACCCACATAAACCTTCCATAAGAAGAACTTCGAATGTTTCAACAACGTCCTCCTTGTCCTCTATGTTGGCCCCTCATGTTCAACATAACAATAAACAACAGTCCAGCAGCGTTGTCAGAAACCAACAGGTCTCTCCGCTTTCGGGCTTAAGTCAGGAGGCTAACGATCCACGGACCAAGCTCACTTACGATCCTCAACTGTCCAGAACAAGGTCGTCCTCGATGCGATCCAAGCCTGCACCACCAGTCAGGTCCCCGTCAACCAAGCTTACAACAGCATCAAGGCAAGACTCCAACTCGAGTCAGTCATCGATTTCTTCCAAGCTCTCGACTGCAGGTTCGACACTTGTTAACAACCCGAGTCGAACCCAGCCAGGTCCTCAAGAGCAAGACATGCAGCGATCCAGCTCCTTCACTTCCGGTTCTCCGTGTCAGGATCCTTCAGGCCAGGAAATTCACCCGTACGCTGCAGCAATGACTAATTGTCAAACTTTTCAACCTATTTTTCCTTACCAAGGGCCATCGTTAAAAAGCTCACAAATTCAACAGAGTCTAACCTCAACTCAGAGCTACACCTCACCACCACAACAGCAATGGAGACCTCAGGAAGGGTGGACACTTGGTCAGAACGCCGCTACACTCGCCTCAGGCCAGGAACCCACAAGTAAACCACCCTTTCCAGTGCCTATACCGGAAGCCGTCGGTACTGACTCTAAACCCCGTCAGTGGTCGCTGACTCTGTCGGATTTCACTCAGTCCGAACAAGTGATGCCACCACCCCCCGGAAACCTCAATCGGCAGGTGAAAGAACGGGTCTTCCGGCAGTACCCGGTACAGAGATACTTGCCTCATACTGGTGCACTTGAACGAGACGTCGCCAGACTGGCCGTCACTGACTGGGTGGCCCATCGACTGTCACAGTTTCCCCCAGAGATACAGTCGCTGTATATAGGCCATAAGTGGTCCTATAGCAGAGGTCGGTCTCGTCGAGGACGTCAACCTGTTATCCGCGAGGAACACGAGGACGAGGTCTTCCATACTTTCCCACCCTTCGAAGCTCACCAGCCTCTCAAGGTACATCTCCAGTGTTATCGTATGGGCTCATGTATCCTAATGAGGTATTGCTTCTTTCCTTCACACACTATTTCCTTCCTTAATTTTCTGCATCCTCCTTCCTCGCTCTCTCTTCTTCCTCCTCCGTCCCATACCTTCCTGATTTCTTCCTTGTCTTTGGCACTCTCTGCTCACGCTTCACACTTTCTCCTCTTCTCTTATCACAACCCTGTATGAATAATGTTTACTTATCGTGGATGTTGTTAATGTTTACCATTGTGGATGTAACTAATGTTTGCCATCGTGGATGTAACTAATGTTTATCATTGTGGATGTGGTTAATGTTTATCATTGTGGATGTGGCTAATGTTTACCATTGTGGATGTGGCTAATGTTTAGCGTTATGGATGTGGCTAATGTTTAGCGTTATGGATGTGGTTAATGTTTACCATGGTGGATGTGGTTAATGTTTACCATGGTGGATGTAATTAATGTTTACCATAGTGGATGTGGCTAATGCTTATCATTGTGGATGTGGCTAATGTTTATCATTGTGGATGTGGTTAATGTTTACCATGGTGGATGTGGCTAATATTTATCATTGTGGATGTGGTTAATGTTTACCATGGTGGATGTGGCTAATATTTATCATTGTGGATGTGGTTAATGTTTACCATGGTGGATGTGGCTAATATTTATCATTGTGGATGTGGTTAATGTTTACCATGGTGGATGTAACTAATGTTTATCATTGTGGATGTGGCTAATGTTTACCATTGTGGATGTGGTTAATGTTTACCATTGTGGATGTGGTTAATGTTTACCATTGTGGATGTGGTTAATGTTTACCATTGTGGATGTGGTTAATGTTTATCATTGTGGATGTGGTTAATGTTTACCATGGTGGATGTGGTTAATGTTTACCATTGTGGATGTAACTAATGTTTGCCATAGTGGATATAAACTTTGCCATCTTGATAAGACTTATCTTGAGATAGTGGTGAGTGTAGTCATCCTGAACACGGTATCACGTTCATGTTGCTGGCTGTCTTGTCAATGTTTCTTGTGTGTGTCATGTTCTCCGTTACCTCCTGCACTGTGTGTGTGGTGTGTTTGTAGCTACCTTTTAGAGGTGTCCTGGCTGGTGAACTGTAGCTGTTGGTCCCGCCTCTTAGCCTTGCAGCACACTGACGTGAATTAGCTCAGTCATACCTATTTTTGAAACCCCCACGCGCAGCCATCTGTGTGTGTGTTTTGTGCGTGCTTGTGTGTGTGTGTGTGTGTGTGTGTGTGTTATGTACGTATGTGAATTTTCAGACTGAACATACACAGTAGTACACGCCTCTTGACATGCACAGATACACTACATGGAAATAAATGGTATAAAATACCGACACAATGGAAATATAAACACATATGCAGTGTGGGGTTATAGAGTCTAAAATCCTTTCCAAGCTACCCAAGATTTTATACTTTATAACCCCACTCGGTACATCATCAGGTGCAGCATTCTCCACTTGACCTCAGCATTCTGAACCTGACTATAAATACTCGCGTACCTTCCACCCCAGGTAGATCTGTTTGTGACTTGAAAAAGCCCACTGTGTGGGCGAAACGTTGTCAATAAAGGATCACATTATACTGCATATGTGTTTATATTTCCAGATACACTACATACATAGTAATATACATGCGTAGACACTGATACACACTGTTTTAGCAAACAGAATTGTTACAGATTGTATGATGATAAGCAGTCAGAATATCATTATTGTTGTTATTAATTATTATTATAATGTTAATTATATTAATTATTATAGTGATAAACCCTTAAGAGTTATGCAGAGACGGGGAGAAGGGAAGGTAACATAAGAACATAAGAAAGGAGGAACACTGCAGCAGACCAGTTGGCCCACACTAGGCAGGTCCTTCACAATCCATCCCACTAACAATATTTGCCCAACCCAATTTTCAACGCTACCTAAGCAATAAGCTTTGGTAATTCTATTTACTCATGTGCAAGTCCCACTCAAATCCAACCCCTCTCACTCATGATTTATCCAACCTAAATTTGAAACTCCCAAGGTTTTAGCTTCAATAACCCTACTAGGCAGACTGTTCCACTCATTAACTACCCAATTTCCAAACCATTACTTACCTATATCCTTTCTTAATCTAAACTTGTCTAATTTGAATCCATTACTGCGGGTTCTCTCTTGGAGAAATATCCTCAAGACCATATTTATATCCCCTTTGTTAATACGCATCTTTCATTTATACACTTCGGTCATGTCTCCCCTCATTCTTCATCTTACAAGTGAATGTAATTTAAAGGTCTTCGCTGTTTTTTCATACGGAAGATTTCTAATGCTATATTAATTTTGTCATTCTTCGCTCAATGTTTTCTAATGAATTTATATCCATTCTGTTATATGGAGACCAGAACTGAGCTGCGTAATGTAGGCGAGGCCTTACTAATGATGTATAAAACTGTAGTATAACAGCTGGACTTCTGTTGCTTACACTTCTTGAGGATTAATGAGAGGAAGGGGAGGATGCTTCGTATTCCTTGGATCAAGAGCCCTTCACTAGCGTTTCTGTCCTCTCCTAATGAGACATGAGAGCAAAAAATTAACAATTTAATTCCCCAATTAAGAGACAAAAAGGTTCAATTTTTGTTACTTATGATAATGAGGGTAATTAGCCAACCCTGTGCTCGCTCGATAACGGCTACTTGCAAGGGGTTGATGCCTAGCTCCTGGTTCTGATCCTTAAGTCTTATGTAATTATCCAATCCCACATGTTTGTAGCGTGACACTGAGTCACCCAGTTGGCTTCCTGATCTGCAGGGGACAGGTCATACCTTTTCTTGATGCTGTGTACAGAATTTGTTTCCACCACCTTTTCATTTAGTGCTTAACTGTGTCTTGTGTTTAGTGTTATCAGTCAGCTGATGATCAGTGGACGAACGAAGGAGTCTCATCTAAATTAACATTTTGGGCCTTGTATATAATTTTTAAATGTATCTTATATTGGAATAAATAGGTCTGATGATGGGAATAAATAGGGCTGATGATGGGAATAAATAGGTCTGATGATGGGAATAAATAGGTCTGATGATGGGAATAAATAGGGCTGATAATCTGATGAACATAGTGAGGGTGAGTAGACTGTTGATTTTGGAGATATGTCTCAACATTAGTTATAAATTAAGGTGTCTACTTATTTAAGTGGTAGAAAGTGTGTAGGAAGATGAGGGAAGATCAAGTGTGCGATATCAGTAGATACTAAAATAAGTGAAGTTAAACATTAAAGAACGTTGTCGAATTTACACGTGTTTTGCTTATAAACAAACACCACGTGTTAATACCTCTTATACCTGGTCACAGCTGCGAATTATGGCGCGCGTGACGTCACACAGGTAAGCTAAATTGATCCTTTCCCCCTTTACCCCTACCCCTTCCTTCATTCCTCTTCCCTTGTATATAAACTGCCTAGTGGGTGTGTGTACCCATCTAATTGTGGTTGCAAGGGTCGAGTCATAGTCCCTGGCCCCGCCTCTTTACTGGTCGCTACTAGGTCCACTCTCCCTGCTCCATGAGATTTATCACACCTCTTCTTAAAGCTATGTATGGATCCTGCCTCCACTACATACATCATTCTGGTGTGACATGAAGATGGTAGAGGCAGAATTTGGTGTAAACTTTTGGGATGTTGTGGAACGAGAGATTCACAGCATGAATATTCAGCCGACAAATCTGTAGCATCTGTTTGAGGTTATCATGTTAATATAAACCAGAATCTCCAAGGAATGTTTCCAGCACCGTGATAAATACATGACATGAAGAATTTAGGCTGTTCTGGGGAGCAAAGAGGAACCTTACCCAGTACTAGTACATTGTTCCTAATAATGTGGCCACTTGACTATATACGTATAGTTTTTAATATATATGTTCATGTTTAAAATAATTTATATAAACATTTAAATTTGCGCAGAAATATTTACATTGAGAGGTGTATATGTCTCAGTGTATATACATTGAGAGGTGTATATGTCTCAGTGTATATACATTGAGAGGTGTATATGTCTCAGTTTATATACATTGAGAGGTGCATATGTCTCAGTGTATATACACTGAGAGGTGTATGTCTCAGTGTATATACATTGAGAGGTGTATGTCTCAGTGTATATACATTGAGAGGTGTATATGTCTCAGCGTATATACATTGAGAGGTGTATATGTCTCAGTGTATATACATTGAGAGGTGTATATGTCTCAGTGTATATACATTGAAAAGTGTATATGTCTCAGTGTATATACATTGAGAGGTGTATATATCTCAGTGTATATACATTGAGAGGTGTATATGTCTCAGTGTATATACATTGAGAGGTGTATATGTCTCAGTTTATATACATTGAGAGGTGCATATGTCTCAGTGTATATACACTGAGAGGTGTATATGTCTCAGTGTATATACATTGAGGTGTATGTCTCAGTGTATATACATTGAGAGGTGTATATGTCTCAGCGTATATACATTGAGAGGTGTATATGTCTCAGTGTATATACATTGAGAGGTGTATATGTCTCAGTGTATATACATTGAGAAGTGTATATGTCTCAGTGTATATACATTGAGAGGTGTATATGTCTCAGTGTATATACATTGAGAGGTGTACATGTTTCAGTGTATATACATTGAGAAGTGTATATGTCTCAGTGTATATACATTGAGAGGTGTATATGTCTGTGTATATACATTGAGAGGTGTATATGTCTCAGTGTATATACATTGAGAGGTGTATATGTCTCAGTGTATATACACAGAGGTGTATATGTCTCAGTGTATATACACTGAGAGGTGTATATGTCTCAGTGTATATACACTGAGAGGTGTATATGTTTCAAGTGTATATACATTGAGAGGTGTATGTCTCAGTGTATATATATTGAGAGGTGTATATGTCTCAGTGTATATACACTGAGAGGTGTATATGTCTCAGTGTATATACACTGAGAGGTGTATATGTCTCAGTGTATATACACTGAGACATATACACCTCTCAGTGTATATACATTGAGAGGTGTATATGTCTCATTGTATATACATTGAGAGGTGTATATGTCTCAGTGTATATACATTGAGAGGTGTATATGTCTCAGTGTATATACATTGAGAGGTGTATGTCTCAGCGTATATACATTGAGAGGTGTTTGTCTCAGTGTATATACATTGAGAGGTGTATGTCTCAGCGTATATACATTGAGAGGTGTATGTCTCAGTGTATATACATTGAGAGGTGTATATGTCTCAGTTTATATACATTGAGAGGTGTATATGTCTCAGTTTATATACATTGAGAGGTGTATATGTCTCAGTGTATATACACTGAGAGGTGTATGTCTCTGTATATGCATTGAGAGGTGTATATGTCTCAGTGTATATACATTGAGAGGTGTATGTCTCAGTGTATATACACTTAGAGGTGTATGTCTCAGTGTATATACAGTGAGGTGTATATGTCTCAATGTATATACACTGAGAGGTGTATGTCTCAGTGTATATACACTGAAAGGTGTATATGTCTGAGTGTATATACATTGAAAGGTGTATATTTCTCAGTGTATATACACTGAAAGGTGTATATTTCTCAATGAATATACACTGAAAGGTGTATGTCTCAGTGTATATACACTGAAAGGTGTATATGTCTCAGTGTATATACACTGAAAGGTGTATATGTCTGAGTGTATATACATTGAGAGGTGTATATGTCTGAGTGTATATACATTGAGAGGTGTATATGTCTCAGTGTATATACATTGAGAGGTGTATATGTCTCAGTGTATATACATTGAGAGGTGTATATGTCTCAGTGTATATACACTGAAAGGTGTATATGTCTCAGTGTATATACACTGAAAGGTGTATATGTCTCAGTGTATATACATTGAGAGTAAACTTTAATGTGTATTTTATGTATTGTTGTGAGGTGATAAAGAGCCTTAATGAGCCTCTCAGTGTAGTAGATAGACTTGAAACCCCATTAACCAGCCTTAACTTTCTGTATTTCTTATTGTCTCTGTGTCCCTTTTTTTTTAATCTTTAAATTCTTAAAGACAATTTATTAAAGTTTTGTCTAATTTTTTGATTTGCATGAAAAGAATTTTTTTGAGAATTGTGATTTTTGTTTTTTTGTTTCAGATGAAGAAAATAATTAAAAATTTGTGGTCTAACTTTGTCTTTTTTTTGTCTTCTCTTGCATGTCCCGCCCATCTCCGCCCATCTCCGCCCATCTCCGCCCATCTCCGACCAACTACGACCATGTGTGCCCTCACCCACCCACCAACACCCACACCCATGGAGCCACATTGACTGGCACAATTATTCCATATATGTGTGTGTGTTCCATTGTTGTACACATATGTACGTCTCTGTGTACATTATCACTGCATGTAACTATGTGTATACATACATGCACGTATATATTTATATATACAAATATACATTTGTACACTCGTATAAACACACACACACACACACACACACACACACACACACACACACACACACACACACACACACACACACACAAACTTAAATATTCAGCAGACCAAAAGTTCAAGCGACTCAGACCACTCTGTGGGAGGTTTGAGAACCGCTTCCCTGGACCGACTTGGGCGTAGGTCTCACGCCCACCCTGCTGCCCACGCCCACCCCCACACTCCCCACTACACCCTTCCCAGGAGACCTCCGAACACCCAGAGATACACTCAGCCACAGACTAAGGTAAGTCTCAGTGTCATATGTGTATGGGAGAGATCTACACCTGTAAGGGTCATATCGCTCTATGGGAAACTGGCAGGTAATTATGTTGGATCCGAGAAAGGGGAGAGTAGCTCCACTTCCTGGAATCAAAAGCACCGGAACACATTCAGAGATTGTGAATGGTAACAATACCGACAAGATGAAGGCTTAGACACATGGGCAACATCTGGGTACCTTTATTTGTAGACGTTTCGCCCTCCAGTGGCTTTATCAATATACATTATGTCCTTGTATTGATAAAGCCACTGGAGGGCGAAACGTCCACAAATAAAGATACCCAGATGTTGCACATATGTCTAATTCTTAAGATTCAGAGATTATTTACGGCCAGCATTTAAATTACTAGGAACACCTCCAGGTCCTAGACTCGTACTTACTGGGGTGAACCAGGTCTTAGACTCGTACTTACTGGGGTGAACCAGGTCCTAGACTCGTACTTACTGGGGTGAACCAGGTCCTAGACTCGTACTTACTGGGGTGAACCAGGTCCTAGACTCGTACTTACTGGGGTGAACCAGTCCTAGACTCGTACTTACTGGGGTGAACCAGGTCCTAGACTCGTACTTACTGGGGTGAACCAGGTCCTAGACTCGTACTTACTGGGGTGAACCAGGTCTTAGACTCGTACTTACTGGGGTGAACCAGGTCCTAGACTCGTACTTACTGGGGTGAACCAGGTCCTAGACTCGTACTTACTGGGGTGAACCAGGTCCTAGACTCGTACTTACTGGGGTGAACCAGGTTCTAGACTCGTACTTACTGGGGTGAACCAGGTCTTAGACTCGTACTTACTGGGGTGAACCAGGTCCTAGACTCGTACTTACTGGGGTGAACCAGGTCCTAGACCCGTACTTACTGGGGTGAACCAGGTCTTAGACTCGTACTTACTGGGGTGAACCAGGTCCTAGACTCGTACTTACTGGGGTAAACCAGGTCCTAGACTCGTACTTACTGGGGTGAACCAGGTCCTAGACCCGTACTTACTGGGGTGAACCAGAGATAAACTTGTAGCTACTGGGGTGAACCAGAGATAAACTTGTAGTTACTGGGGTGAACCAGAGATAAACTTGTAGTTACTGGGGTGAACCAGAGATAAACTTGTAGTTACTGGGGTGAACCAGAGATAAACTTGTAGTTACTGGGGTGAACCAGAGATAAACTTGTAGTTACTGGGGTGAACCAGAGATAAACTCGTACTTACTGGGGTGAACCAGAGATAAACTTGTAGCTACTGGGGTGAACCAGAGATAAACTTGTAGTTACTGGGGTGAACCAGAGATAAACTTGTAGTTACTGGGGTGAACCAGAGATAAACTTGTAGTTACTGGGGTGAACCAGAGATAAACTTGTAGTTACTGGGGTGAACCAGAGATAAACTTGTAGTTACTGGGGTGAACCAGAGATAAACTTGTAGTTACTGGGGTGAACCAGAGATAAACTTGTAGTTACTGGGGTGAACCAGAGATAAACTCGTACTTACTGGGGTGAACCAGAGAGAGAAACTCGTACTTATTGGGGTGAACCAGAGAGAGAAACACTTACCGGGGTGAACCAGAGAGAGAAACACGTACTTACTGGGGTGAACCAGAGAGGAACACGTACTTACTGGGGTGAACCAGAGAGAGAAACTCGTACTTACCGGGGTGAACCAGAGAGGGAAACTCGTACTTACTGGGGTGAACCAGAGAAACACATGCTTACTGGGGTGAACCAGAGAAACACGTACTTACTGGGGTGAACCAGAGAGAGAGAAACACGTACTTACTGGGGTGAACCAGAGAGAGAAACACGTACTTACTGGGGTGAACCAGAGAGAGAGAAACACGCACTTACTGGGGTGAACCAGAGAGAGAGAAACACGTACTTACTGGGGTGAACCAGAGAGAGAGAAACACGTACTTACTGGGGTGAACCAGAGAGAGAGAAACACGCACTTACTGGGGTGAACCAGAGAGAAACACGTACTTACTGGGGTGAACCAGAGAGAGAGAAACACGTACTTACTGGGGTGAACCAGAGAGAGAGAAACACGTACTTACTGGGGTGAGCCAGAGAAACACGTACTTACTGGGGTGAACCAGAGAGAGAGAAACACGTACTTACTGGGGTGAACCAGAGAGAGAGAAACACGTACTTACTGGGGTGAACCAGAGAAACACGTACTTACTGGGGTGAACCAGAGAGAGAAGCACGTACTTACTGGGGTGAACCAGAGAGAGAGAAACACGCACTTACTGGGGTGAACCAGAGAGAGAGAAACACGTACTTACTGGGGTGAGCCAGAGAAACACGTACTTACTGGGGTGAACCAGAGAGAGAGAAACACGTACTTACTGGGGTGAACCAGAGAAACACGTACTTACTGGGGTGAACCAGAGAAACACGTACTTACTGGGGTGAACCAGAGAAAACGTACTTACTGGGGTGAACCAGAGAAACACGTACTTACTGGGGTGAACCAGAGAAACACATACTTACTGGGGTGAACCAGAGAAACACGTACTTACTGGGGTGAACCAGAGAAACACGTACTTACTGGGGTGAACCAGAGAAACACGTACTTACTGGGGTGAACCAGAGAAACACGTACTTATTGGGGTGAACCAGAGAAACACGTACTTACTGGGGTGAACCAGAGAGAGAGAAACACGTACTTACTGGGGTGAACCAGAGAAACACGTACTTACTGGGGTGAACCAGAGAAACACGTACTTTCTGGGGTGAACCAGAGAAACACGTACTTACTGGGGTGAACCAGAGAAACACGTACTTACTGGGGTGAACCAGAGAAACACGTACTTACTGGGGTGAACCAGACAAACACGTACTTACTGGGGTGAACCAGAGAAACACGTACTTACTGGGGTGAACCAGAGAAACACGTACTTACTGGGGTGAACCAGAGAAACACGTACTTTCTGGGGTGAACCAGAGAAACACGTACTTACTGGGGTGAACCAGAGAAACACGTACTTACTGGGGTGAACCAGAGAAACACGTACTTACTGGGGTGAACCAGAGAAACACGTACTTACTGGGGTGAACCAGAGAAACACGTACTGGGGTGAACCAGAGAAACACGTACTTACTGGGGTGAACCAGAGAAACACGTACTTACTGGGGTGAACCAGAGAAACACGTACTTACTGGGGTGAACCAGAGAAACACGTACTTACTGGGGTGAACCAGAGAAACACATACTTACTGGGGTGAACCAGAGAAACACGTACTTACTGGGGTGAACCAGAGAAACACGTACTTACTGGGGTGAACCAGAGAAACACGTACTTACTGGGGTGAACCAGAGAAACACGTACTTACTGGGGTGAACCAGAGAGAGAGAGAAACACGTACTTACTGGGGTGAACCAGAGAGAGAGAAATACGTACTTACTGGGGTGAACCAGAGAGAGAGAAATACGTACTTACTGGGGTGAACCAGAGAGAGAGAAACACGTACTTACTGGGGTGAACCAGAGAGAGAGAAATACGTACTTACTGGGGTGAACCAGAGAGAGAGAAATACGTACTTACTGGGGTGAACCAGAGAGAGAGAAACACGTACTTACTGGGGTGAACCAGAGAAACACGTACTTACTGGGGTGAACCAGAGAGAGAGAAACACGTACTTACTGGGGTGAACCAGAGAGAGAGAAATACGTACTTACTGGGGTGAACCAGAGAGAGAGAAACACGTACTTACTGGGGTGAACCAGAGAAACACGTACTTACTGGGGTGAACCAGAGAAACACGTACTTACTGGGGTGAACCAGAGAAACACGTACTTACTGGGGTGAACCAGAGAAACACGTACTTACTGGGGTGAACCAGAGAAACACGTACTTACTGGGGTGAACCAGAGAAACACGTACTTACTGGGTGAACCAGAGAAACACGTACTTACTGGGGTGAACCAGAGAAACACGTACTTACTGGGGTGAACCAGAGAAACACGTACTTATTGGGGTGAACCAGAGAAACACGTACTTACTGGGTGAACCAGAGAGAGAGAAACACGTACTTACTGGGGTGAACCAGAGAAACACGTACTTACTGGGGTGAACCAGAGAAACACGTACTTACTGGGGTGAACCAGAGAAACACGTACTTACTGGGGTGAACCAGAGAAACACGTACTTACTGGGGTGAACCAGAGAAACACGTACTTACTGGGTGAACCAGAGAAACACGTACTTACTGGGGTGAACCAGAGAAACACGTACTTACTGGGGTGAACCAGAGAAACACGTACTTACTGGGGTGAACCAGAGAAACACGTACTTACTGGGGTGAACCATAGAAACACGTACTTACTGGGGTGAACCAGAGAAACACGTACTTACTGGGGTGAACCAGAGAAACACGTACTTACTGGGGTGAACCAGAGAAACACGTACTTACTGGGGTGAACCAGAGAAACACGTACTTACTGGGGTGAACCAGAGAAACACGTACTTACTGGGGTGAACCAGAGAAACACGTACTTACTGGGGTGAACCAGAGAAACACGTACTTACTGGGGTGAACCAGAGAGAGAGAAAGATTAACATAATATTGTATTGAACAGAAAGTCACAATACCGTGAGTGGAACGGTACACAAATAACCAACACGTAGGAAAGGGCAGATAATAACGACGTTTCGGCCCCACGTTTTGACCATTTACTAGTCGCCAATAATCTTCTGTCTCTTATGTTCGGGTCATTTGTGAATGATAATGAATTGGAGGGAAAACTATGGGATAAGTGTAAAGCAGCGGGAGTCGTGGGCATGATAGGAGAACATTGTATCAACATTCGTGGTCCCAGACTATTCGACTTTATTAGAAGATATCAGAAACACTGATGGAACAAGTCTTTAAGTACCTCAGTCAAGTGCCGGATCAACCAAGCTGTGTTAGATATGAGGCACAGCTGGCCACCAGCAACACCAGCCTGGTTGATCAGACAAAACCTGGCCCAT